CCTGGGTCAAAGTCCCCAGTTCACACATGGATAGCTGTGTGTGTGAACAGACAATAACATTCACGCTGCCATGATCGGACAAGTGGTTCAGCCCTGGGTCAAAGTCCCCAGTTCATACATGGATAGCTGTGTGTGTGAACAGACAATAACAATCACACTGCCAGGATGTAAGCCTCTGGATAGCCTGGCCCCATGTGTTCAATTATTCACCGCTATATATATATCTAAACTGGACTTGCCCAGTCTTTGATTTGGTAAGGTTCAAATGTGACTTTAGGTGTGGATGGTAAATTGGGAATTAAATCCCAGACCCTATAGCTATAGACACCTGCGTACAAATTTTATCCATGTTTGGTATGAAGCATTAAAATAATTTTCAACTTTGGAAAATGTCAACATAATAAAAGCAGACAGCGATTATAGCTTTATTCCCAAACGGCTGAGCCTGGTGATAGGACCTAAAGGGGAAATTTCAGTGCTGTGAGACTTTAAAATCTACTCCTCCTGACCAGTTGGTCCTATTTCAACCAGGTTTGCTTTGAAGAATCTTTCAGACCAGCTATCAAATTTAATGTAAAGGAAAGGTGTTGTTCTCCTGGGTAATTACAGGCGAAAATGGGGAAATATTTCAACATCTGATTTGAATAGTAATTAAGTTCTGCCTCATAGCCATGCATTAATTGATACAGCAATGTATTTTAGATGAATGATAAACAGTAAATTGTGGAAAAAAATGTGTGACAATTTCAACCATTTAATTGATTGAGGTAATCCAACTCAATTCAGTTTATTACATTAAATAGCCGCAGAATCACAGATAGAGTTTTCACACCTGAACATTCTTACCTGTGATCGCTTGTAGCTATAGAAGTTGGACCGAGTCGGGGACACAGATATATTAAGGTACATGAAGGCTGTGAGTGAGGCTTGACGGTAGATACAAGATACAAGAATAAGCGTAGGAGTCAATCGCAACAAGCTCAGGATAAGTTGAATCTTATTTATTGGGTATGTCTACCGGTTTCGCCCGAACAGTGGGCTTCATCAGGACGATTTAATAACAAAATATGTCCCCTGAAGTACTAAAATTCTGGGCACATTTATATTGTGTATAGTGACGTAATACAGGTAACGTCACGTGATATTATCTATTTATAACGTTCTAGAAAGTTCCATCACGGTTATTATTAATAGATGAGCATTCTAGTCTATAGTATCAATACCTGAAATACTATCAATGTACATACAATTCATTGACTATTTTAAATATATATGTGTATAAATGTGTATATATAGTTAGACATAAGTACAAGTTTCTTTTATCCCTAAATATTATTAAACTGAATTATAATGTTCAAGTTCATCCTGACAAACAGTGGATGTGGATAGAGACTTATATCCCAAAGTCTTGTAGTCTGTCATTGCGTAGTCTTCTTCTGTTGTGTTTGGTGTGGATGCCGTGTATTCACTCTCTGATAATTTTTTAATGCGTAATGCTTCCAAATACGGGATGCTTTTTTTTGAATGTAGTGGGTGTCAAATTTGTTAGTGTAGATATAGAAACGTGTTAGTCGGTTTACTATACACCTTACTGCCGAGACTGCCGTCCGGTGGTAAGTAGATGGTTGTATCTAGGAAGTTAGCCTCCGTGTTGCTGATATCGAAGGTAAACTTGATCGTTGGGTGGTAAGAGTTCATGGCTTCACAGAAGGAGGTGAGTTCCTCTCTTGTATGTGTCCATATAAAGAAAATATCATCTATATAATTATCTCAACCAGACCAATGGTATTTTTGCTTGTGTAGATAAAAATCTGGTTTCTATGACTATGTAGTCCATGAAAATAATTGCGTAATTTGGTGCCATTTTCATGTCCATGGCGGTGCCTAGCTTCTGTAAATAATAGTCTCTGTTGAACCTTAAACAGTTGTTCGTTAATATAAGTGCGATCATCCTGAGAACGATCCACGTGCTGGGTTTCGCATCTTGGCCTCTCTTATCTAATGCCAACTTGGCGGCCCTAATACCTTCTGTGTGTGGAATAGATGTGTACAGAGCAGACACGTCCGCTGTACATAATATGCTATTGGTCGGTATTTTACCTATTTGTTTTATTTTCCGAAGGAAATCGGTGCAATCCTTCAAATATGACTCAGTGTTAACAACTAAGGGTTTGAGGTGGTAGTCCGCAAATTCTGATATTTTTTCCGTGCAGATTTAAAGTGTGGTATTATGGAGGCTGGTAAGGTTTTGTTCTCTGTGACAGTATCTTCTCTCCTCCTTTTTAGTTCTTGATTACTGGAATGATCTGTGTGGTTATCGTTAGGTAATTGGAACGAGAAATCTTTGTTAGTTGATTCATTCATGTTCGGTGACGGGAGGTGGTCCGGTGTTGGACTCGGGTATCCCTTCGGCGGATCCACTAGAGATGCAGGAGCTCTAGATAAAAGTTACAACATCGATCCAGGAGTAGAGCCAACGCCGTTATTGTAGTTTAGGTTCGGTAGGTTCCGTTATCCCTTGCCTGGATACCAACCAGTATGCAGGGCGATTGAAGAATAGGAAAATAAGCGTAGGATAGCATCCCGTATTCGGAAGCATTACGCATTAAAAAATTATCAGAGAGTGAATACAAGGCATCCACACCAAACACAACAGAAGAAGACTACGCAATGACAGACTACAAGACTTTGGGATATAAGTCTCTATCCACATCCACTGTTTGTCAGGATGAACTTGAACATTATAATTCAGTTTAATGAATGTCTAACTATATATACACATTTATACACATATATATTTAAAATAGTCAATGAATTGTATGTACATTGATAGTATTTCAGGTATTGATACTATAGACTAGAATGCTCATCTACTAATAATAACCGTGATGGAACTTTCTAGAACGTTATAAATAGATATTATCACGTGACGTTACCTGTATTACGTCACTATACACAATATAAATGTGCCCAGAATTTTAGTACTTCAGGGGACATATTTTGTTATCAAATCGTCCTGATGAAGCCCACTGTTCGGGCGAAACCGGTAGACATACCCAATAAATAAGATTCAACTTATCCTGAGCTTGTTGCGATTGACTCCTACGCTTATTTTCCTATTCTTCAATCGCCCTGCATACTGGTTGGTATCCAGGCAAGGGATAACAGAACCTACCGAACCTAAACTACAATAAGGGTTGGCTCTTCTCCTGGATCAAGATACAAGAAGATATATTTTAAGTCGTACATGTTAAACAATAAACATTAGCTCTGTAGAGCTATTTCTACGACAAAACGTGAATAAAATGCATAGAAAATTACAAACAAAAATGAAATATCACTGCATGCATGTTAGATAAAAAGAAAAACGTCTTATTGGACCGAACAGTACAAGGCTGAGTACTACTTGTTAGCGAGCGACAATACACGCATATCACAGCATGTACAAAACAATATAGCACTAAAAAAAAAATATTGTTAGATTGCATTGATATATAGCATAAAGTTCATGTCTTACGCAAGAGATTGTTTTTGAAAGACATGGATGCCTAAATATACATATATGCCAATATAGCATAATTTGTTAGCTTATGGTAGACTGAAGGTGTGGCTTGTCTTTCGAAAAACAAAACAAAAGGACATCATGTCTTCATTCGTTGACTAATATTTTACAATATAATTTATTTTATTTCCTTGTCACATGTCAATATCGCAGTACAACAGTTTGTAGATCCTCCGTAATCAATACTATACAGGTTGATTTTATGATTCATTTATGCAGAAAAAATACCATACACCACATGCCCTTGTACCGCCATCAAAATGATGGTGTTTCTTAATCAATTAATTCAAATTGGTTTGTGTGTGATCAATCAATTTCCGATCATTTGGACAACGCTGAAAGGTCTACAGCGATTGCGATTTTGCCGATAGATGAGTACATAATAGTTTTAATACACAGAGTATCTATAATATCTGGTGGTATCAAATCAGATCCTATTGGATCATGAAACATTTTGTTGACACAGATTTCTGTGTAACCGGACTAATCCCTAGGGGCTATAAAATCTCCCCTCCACAGCGCTAGCTACCTGGTTGATGCTATACGTAAATTAAAGGTGATGAGTTTTTTTTATTTGATTCTATGCTTTTAGTACACTGAGATGTGATCATTTGTTGATACTCTAGATCTTTTGTCTGATATTGGGATTAATTTAACAAAAATCTTAACCCTTTCACCCCTATGTAACTTTAGTAGACTATTCCATGCATCCACGCATTGATCTGGATGAGTCCATTATGGTATACAGTGGTGAAAGAGTTAATTTCTTTTTTATTGACTGCTGCTGAATTTTCTTTGAAAACTATCAGAACTCATCTAATTATTTTAAGTTTAACACTTTATGTGTTTTTAAATATGAAATGTGTCATTTTGACATTTTAAATTTGTTGTGCAAGAGTAAACTTATTAACTCATTCAACCCTGAAATTTCATAATGAACTATTCCAGTCTTTGAGCTGGAAGAGTTCAAATGTGTCTTCAGGGGTGAATGAGTTAAACTTTTAAGTTTATGTACAAACACAGACACATATTTGATCAAAGCCACTCTTTCTTCACAAGTTGACGTTTGTGTCTATGGCATTTTCATTTGTTTCATGTCATTTCCTTTAACTTATTCACCCCTAAAGTCACTTTTGAACCTTACCAAATCTAAGACTGGGCAAGTCCAGTTGAAATATGTAGGGGTGAATGAGTTAATATGTTTTGTTGAACTTTTATTTGCCGAAATACTGAGCACATCATATAGGTTGAACGTGACACTTTCAGAAAGATAACCAATTAAATACATACCAATTTTAAATCATCTTGACCAACCGAAGGAAATTTTAATTCAGATTCTTTAATATGTACTTATATCTCTGAAGTAATGTTGAATGAATATTGTTTCAGCATACAATATAGCGTTTATACTCTGAGACTCCTGTGTTTTGTTTTGTAGGGAATTGCTACAACATGGTTTCACTCCTCTCCATGCGGTTCATGTTGCTTTCCATGCACTTTCGGTTACCTCAGATGACGATGAACCAGCTACACGATCAAACCTCTGGCAGCACTTAGCTCGGGATATAAAGTCCCAGACATATCTCTCACATCCAAGGACTTGGTCCCCAGAGTATGGTCATTTTAATTTTGTGCTACAGAATTCACGGGATATTTATCGGAGAACATTCAGAGTTAAAAATTACGTGAAATTGTGACTCTTTTTGTGGATCATGACAATAGACTCTTGAGTGTAAAGATTGTTTCATCAATTTTTGAGACTCCAAAGCTTCACAATGTTAACGGACAAGGGGATTGCTCGGAAGATGAACCTAGAACATTTGAGTGCGACTGAGTGTGAGAAAATCTTACAAGTACTCCAGAAAGATTTTGAACTGCGACAGAAGGAAAAAACTAGACTCGAGTAAGTAACCTTTCTTTTCTTTCATGATACATCATTAAGGTTGCGTTCTCGCCCGTCACCCGTCACCCCTCAACCCTCATCCCTCGCCCCTCACCCCTCACCCTCATCCCTCACTCCTCGCCCCTCACCCCTCATCCCTCACCCCTCGCCCTAGCCCCTAGCCCCTCGCCCCTCGCCTCTCACCCCTTGCCCTCATCCCTTACCCCTCATCCCTCACCCCTTATCCCCACCCCCTCATCCCTCATCCCTAGCCCCTAGCACCTTGCCCCTTGCCTCTCACCCCTTGCCCCTCAACCCCTCACCCCTTGCCCCTCATCCCTCACCCCTCATCCCCAGCCCCTCATCCCTCACCCCTAGCCCTTCGCCCCTTGCCCCTCATCTCTCACCCCTCATCCCTCACCCCTCGACCCTCACCCCTCAACCCCTCACCCCTTGCCCCTCACCCCTCATCCCTCACCCCTCGCCCTAGCCCCTAGCCCCTCGCCCCTCTCCTCTCACCCCTTGCCCTCATCCCTTACCCCTCATCCCTCCCCCCTTATCCCCAGCCCCTCATCCCTCACCCCTCGCCCTAGCCCCTAGCCCCTCGCCCCTCTCCTCTCACCCCTTGCCCTCATCCCTTACCCCTCATCCCTCCCCCCTTATCCCCAGCCCCTCATCCCTCACCCCTTATCCCCAGCCCCTCATCCCTCACCCCTCGCCCTAGCCCCTAGCCCCTCGCCCCTCTCCTCTCACCCCTTGCCCTCATCCCTTACCCCTCATCCCTCCCCCCTTATCCCCAGCCCCTCATCCCTCACCCCTAGCCCTTCGCCCCTTGCCCCTCATCTCTCACCCCTCATCCCTCACCCCTTATCCCCAGCCCCTCATCCCTCACCCCTTATCCCCAGCCCCTCATCCCTCACCCCTCGCCCTAGCCCCTAGCCCCTCGCCCCTCATCCCTTGCCCCTCAACCCTCGCCCCTCACCCCTCACCCCTCATCCCTCACTCCTCGCCCCTCACCCCTCACTCCTCACCCCTCATCCCTCACCCCTCAACCCTCATCCCCCTCACCCTCATTGTGCTGAGAAGTGTACAGTCTCTCAGATGTGCAAACTGTCTTTATTGTCTGCCATCCTTAAAACATTGAGGCCTTTCTCGTTTTAACACATAACAATTTCTTTATAGGAGGCACAGTGTCTAGTGGTAGGACGCCAGCCTCGTGACCCAAAGGTTGCAGGTTCGAGTCATGCATGATACGGTGTTGTATCCTTGAACAAGATACTTTACTCTGATCATTCCAGTCTACTCAGCTGTAAATGAGTACGTGGTTGGGCAGTGCTAGAATTGTAGAATGCTAGCTGTGAGCACGAAAAATGGCAGCACCCGGCTGTATGCTCCTCAGGGAATTGAGAAAGATAGTGGCTGGTTGCAAAGGCCCTATAATTAACCACGGATAATAATAAGTGAACTATTTGAGACAACCTAGGACTTCGGTTGTGATAAAGCAGTATATAAGAACCTCAAATTATTATCATTATAATCATTATCATCCTGGTGAAATGATTTTTTTTTCAAATGTGTTTTTGTTGCTTTAGGAAAATTGAAGAAGATTTGAAAGAGGAAGACACCAAGACTGAAGTTCTTGCCAAGAAAACTAAACTCAACGAAAATGTTTGTATTCGGTGCTGTCAGACGTTTGGCCTCATTTTCAATCGTAAACAAACCTGTAGTAAATGTCATCTATACATCTGTAAGTCGTGCTGCTGCCGTGACCTTGAACACGGAGGATTTGTCTGTAACGTCTGCGTCAAGGAACAGTAAGTTATAAAGAATTACCAGGAACGGTGATTTTTTTTCAGGTTAATATGATATACGTTTTAGCAGAAGTTATCGCCTCACTTTTAACTTTTGCCATTTGAAATGAGGGTGAATTAATAGTTACAGGGATTGATAGAATTAGTAAACAACACAATTAACATGCTTATCAAGTATGGAAGGTGAAGTTGAACTCTGGGCGAACTGTAGGACAAAACTTTGACTTGGGAGAGTTCTCGGTATACAATGAGTTAACATATGTAGTTTAGTTTATGATCCAATTTTAACATGTTTGCTTTCCCAGAATTCCGACAGAGCGTGGACAAATCAGCAGAATCTTGCTTATGTATACTTTTTTCAGGCATTGTGTTAACATATTTCTGCACATGTGACCTTTGCCGGATTAAATCCTCTATACACAAGACTCTGTCATGTTGTCCACGCCCGTGAGAATTCAATGATTAACTGTTAGCAGGGGCTCTGTATATTTCAAGTATCAACGGCAGAAATAATCTGAATTACACCGGATTTTCATTATAAAAGGGACAACAAATAATCACTAACATCTCCAGCTAGAGAGAGTTGGTACACAGATCCCCTACAGGGGTGGAGGAGGGCACGGATCCCATACAGGGGTGGAGGGGG